CCAACCCAGCAACGAAGACCTGTAACCTTGGTGCTTTGGCCTCCAACCTCCTAGTGGTGACCTCCAACGTTGCAGTTTTTAGTTTGCTTTTTGTAGCTCTGAGCCCTCGATAGGGAGGGCCTTGTGTATGTGTAAGCCGCTATCACACGCGGACGAGTTGAAATCACAGACATGAAAGTTTGTTTCTAGTCACTTAGAAAGCAGCAGGGGGGCATCGGAGGTGCTGATGAGACCGGTGCTAACAAAGACGCCCATCAGTTACCTGTGATACACGTACCTGCAGGTTGATATCGCTAAGTTTTTTCTCCTCCTTTTATCCAGGCTGTTGCAGGTATATGAAGCTTGACCCGTCTTTGTAGTTCCCGACGGTGTCACTCACATACACGATTGTTCAAGGCCGTGGACTCAGGAGGTTCTGGGCTTTGACACCTTTCCACCGTTCCACCACCAAACAACTCTTCCCAGTGTGCGTGTCATAGGACATAGGGTGATGTGCTGCTGTGATGCAATGATACTATTGACACCTTCCCAAACCTTTCCCAAAGTCAGGCCAGGGATGCTGACAGTGCCATGAAGTGGTAAACATCCTCGCTTGCTGTCAGGTCACGCCCATGTAGACGGTGTACATGAATGGGATGTTAATCAACACGGAGGTCATCGCCACGAAGATCCTCTCAGGCACATCACATGCACGGAATCCTCAAGCTGGCATCACATGTCACACCTGGACACAGTGAGAGACTCAACAGGTGACTCAAGTGATCACACCTACGAGACTCTTGGAGATCCTGCTCTCAATGCACATGAACAGGGGCTTTCAACAGAAGTTAGTCTTGGTGGTGATTCACAACCTCCTCAAGCTTCAAGGGCACGAATCGGACTGCGGCAGCTCTTGCATTCAACATCCAGTTGAGGGTCGAACAATTTGCCGCCGACCATCTGCTACCAGGAACCATGGGATAATTCCAGCCACTTGTGGACGTTTCTCTAGTCGCCAAAGATGTGCCTCCATGCAGAAATGCTCCCACGTACCAACCTGACCCCCTCTCGCGGGGTTCGCCGGACCCGTCTCCTGCCATCTTCCGGACGCTTCGCATGAGCCAAATCCCCCAGCACGCCGCCCACGGCATTGCCCAGGCCGTCGCCGATGGTGCCTTGAAGCACAAGACCTTTCGTCTTCTTTATTTTTGTGATGGACGCTGAGAAAAGCAAAATGTTCTTTTCAACAAAATGAGGGAACCCCAAAAAAAGGGCAAGAGCCCCTTATATTTTGTACTTGAGGCCGAGGGTTGGTGACGAAAGCTAGCAGGGCGGGGGTGAAGCGGGGGATATCCGACCGAGAAAGGTAGGAAGATAGAACAGTCAGCCCCCCTGCCAGCGGAAATACACGTGTCCCAGAGACGTCCCGGGGAAGGGGTGGGCCCCCGATATATGAAGTTTTCACGCGATGCGGCGCTCTCGAGGATTCCGGCCCCTCACTTGCTAAAGCAAGAACAACTCCAGCTACTTGGTGCTAGCTTTCGTTACTTTAATGTTCAACCATGACGACAACAAACGACAACGATTACGGTCTTCTTGCACTAACCCCTAGTGTGGAGAACACCAAGTAGCATGCACCAGCGTTCGTCAAGTTTCACTGCCAGTCACTGCCATTCTTCATGGCAACATCAAAGCCCAAGAGAGCGGCTGGAGGCCCGGCCATGAAACATGCAAAACACTGTATACATAAGGGAATGCAGCGGTTACGTTCTTCAGACTTCTTGGAGGTGATGTGCAAAGATGTTAGTTGCATTCTCTTGCACGCTATGGTAGTATCAATGCATTTGTCCGTTCCAGTGGTACAACCGGAGAACCAAACAGCCATTGCAGGGTGATATTGGCCAGACTCTAGGAATTCTGTGTCCAGGACAAGTTGCGAAGCGCCAAGATAAGCCCACCTTGGCTGCGGTCTGGGTGCACATGAGTTGGACAATACAGTGAGCTCAAGGTTCTAGCCGTACCCTCTGAGTAACCTTCCCACTACATCAGTACGACCGTGATTTCTGAAGGCCCGGCCCAACATACCAAAACGAGCGGTACACGGATTATATTATTGATCCTGACCAAGTCGCACAAGGAGTTGGATACGCCCAAATATTGCCTTGGCTAGGAAATCAACAGCGACGGCAAATGGATGCAAATGGCGAAACCCCAATCACAATGGTTCAACGACTTCTACGGCCTAAATATTCTTCAGTAAATCTCTCGAAATTCCCTCCAGCACATCAGACCTACACGCAGCAAGCCGCAAGCTCTCTTTTCTCCTGTTGCTTTACCAAGTGGTGTTGTCAGTCACCTCTCAGCGCCTGGTCTCATACCCCAAGGCGGAGGAGAAGCTCAGACCCAGACCTGCACAAAAAAAAGAAATAATGAAACAAATTCTGCCTGTTGTGAACTCAGACTAGCCTGCTGCATCTGCGTGGCTGACACAATGTCCCCCTATCCCAGGCAGTGAGTGGCCCAGGCATTTCTATGGCCACGGGTTTGTTACTCTGAGGTCTAGGCCAGGCTTGTTGTCAAAGGCTCATTCATTTATGATGCAAATGCTGTCGGGGTGATGGCAGCTACCACAACAAGGCTGTAGACGTGGCAGTAAACCCAGAACAGTTTGTATTTGGTACCACGTGGTTCACGTGATGCCAGTCCCTGCGCATCTCAGAAAGCGACAAACACGACTCCAGTCATCCTACCTCACAGCTCAGCCGGCAAGGCGCTTTCTGGGCAGCACACATGGCATCATGCGCTTGCCACCACAATTCATCCCAGGGACTCCGGGCCAGTGGCAGCCAACCTAGGACTCATGGTGGCAGGTGGTCACATAGGGGAAGGCCCTTGGACACCACCCAAATGTGCAAAGACGCTAAAGGGGCCAAGTTGGGGCACTCAATCCGTTTCACAAGCCGAAGTGAATGAAGGCTGCTGCACTGCATCATATCACTGTTATCACTGGCACTGATGCAGGGCTGCCAACGGCAGAAAATCAAAGCTGAGGAACGTTGCCAGGGCTTTCGCAGGTGCCCGGGAAAATGCACGATCTTTGGCGTGCCCTGAGCTGCAAACATCCTACCCACCAGTCGACCCAATGACGCTTCAGGTGCGGCCAAAGGCGTAGAAACTGTTCTATGCTGGGTCAGCAACCTCAGTCACCCTAGCCTAACAACTACTATTGCCTGTGGTCAGACACACCTGTGTAATAATATATATATACTATATATTATGTATATCTATTTATCTATCCAAGACTACT